AGTGGAACAAAGCATTCCTTATAAGAGTATGGAAACCTCTCTCTAGCAAACACGTTTTAAAACTTTGAGGGGAAGCTCAAAAGGGAAAGCTCAAAGAGGACAATATCTGCTAGCGGTGGAATTGAGCTGTTACAAATATCCTTTGAGCTATCTTGACAATCAAATGTAGGTAGGTCGGGATTTGCATTTATGTTTCAAAATGTTCTGGCTTGCAGGTGATTGATTATTATGCCAAAAAGGGTCTTGTCGCTAATCTGCACGCTGAGAAGCCTCCAAAAGAAGTCACAGCTGAGGTTCAGAAAGTGCTCTCATAGAATGATAGGAGTTTCTGAGCCCCGGGTCACTACTTTTACTACTTTCTACTCCTTTTACTGATGAATTGTCTGAAAATCTTTCTCATTTGTTCTTCAATTTTCGAACATCCATTTTCCGGCTGCTATTATCGAACTTTTTGAGCGCTGAACGAGTCGAGAATCATTAGAAATAAAACGTTTGATCTTCTGATGAAATGATTGAGTTTGATCTTAGAAATCTGCCTTACTGAAGTATTTCTTTGTTTCATTTTCTGATGAAATGATCGAGTTGGATGAATTACTTTACTGCCTTGTTGATTGATTTCTATCCATTGATATGATCCAAGAAATTGTTGATAGTAGCATTTAGTCGGTAAGATGTGAAAGAATGGTTCCCTCCATTCATGACTCGTCCTATGTGATCGTGTTGTTGCCACTAAAGTAACACATTACATGTTGCATGGACACGTTGAGGTGCACATTACACCCATTTGATCGTAAACTCAAGTAACACATTACACCCATTTGATCGTCGAGATGCACTCAATCGTAAACTCATTACATTGGCTTGGATGGTAAACCATCATGGCCATGATTGATGCTATTCACACATCGATATAACTAGCCTCGTGAATACATTGTCTTCCTCTCTTAAGTTTTCATATAGGACGTCTTTCCAAAGATAGCTCATTGGATAAAACACCTAAAGGCCAATGGTCTAATCTTCTCCCATTTAATAGATGTTTATATCAAATACCAGTTCGAACATAGTTCAATTTGTTGTTTTAATGCTCGGTGTTATCACGGTTGACAATTGATATTCATGACATTTTATCATTAGACATAGGGAGTGCATAAATAACCTGATAATCTAAGCAACCCGAACAACCAACCCAATCAAATTGTAAGATTGGATTATAGGAACACGGGAGCACATTACTAGTTCAATAGAGCTTTATTCGACTCAACCTTAGAATCTCGAATGACCGACATGTTTTGAACAATTATATATACAAAAACTACAATCAGATCTAATTAAATTTTACTCGTCGTATTTGAATGAGAACTCATTAAAATAATTAAATAGGAATAAAAAAAAAAAGATTTGTTTGTCATCATTATATGACAGTGGAATTATTGTCATAAAAACATTATTGACAATTGAGAGAATTGAATTGTTGTTAATAAACATTTCAATAATTGTTTTAAATAAATAAATAAATAAATAAAAATAAAATAAAATAAAAATCTCTTGACATTTGAACTAACCAAAGCTCCTCAAAAACGCTAATCATATGAATTGCCTTTTCAATTAAACCAATCTTTTTTAGTAAATGTTATAATTTTATGTTCTTAATTTCATAAAAACTTAATGAATAGTTTATAATTCATAGGACAAAAGTGTTATTCGATGAATATTTACAACAAGAAATGAATCCTAATTTTAGGATGACTGACCCTTTTAATCCAATCCATATAATGTCTTTTTCGGGAGCTCGAGAAAATGCATCTCAAGTACACCAATTAGTAGGTATGAGAGGATTAATGTCCGATCCACAAGGACAAATGATTGATTTACCCATTCAAAGCAATTTACGTGAGGGACTGTCCTTAACGGAATATATAATTTCTTGCTATGGAGCGCGTAAAGGAATTGTGGATACTGCTGTACGAACATCGGATGTTGGATATCTTACACGCAGACTTGTTGAAGTCGTTCAACACATTGTTGTACGTAGAACTAATTGTGGAACCATCCGAGGGATTTCAGTGAGTCCTGAAAATAAGATGATTCCGAAAAGAATTTTTATCCAAACATTAATTGGTCGTGTATTAGCGGACGATATATATATGGGCCCGCGATGCATTGACATATGAAATCAAGATATTGGTATTGGACTTATCAGTCGATTCATAACCTTTCAAACACAACCGATATCTATTCGGACTCCCTTTACTTGTAGGAGTACATCTTGGATCTACCGATTATGTTATGGACGAAGTCCTACTCACGGGGACCTGGTCGAGTTGTTAAGAGTGTTCATATGATTTGATAACTCGACCAACTTAAACCACCTAAACCAAATTATAAAAGGTGGGGTTGGGTTGAATTTTTAAGTAACTGAAAATTCGGCTCGATTTGTGGGTTGACATTTTTTTTGTCGGATCAATCTGATTCACCGTTATTAATGGTGCGTTATGACCTGTAAAGGTTTATGTGACAGTTCAAGCTCACGATAAACATATATAGTTCTTCTTTTCTGAGTTTCCTCTCAAAGTTTTAAATCACATCGATTTGGAAGAAGTTTCTAGACTGTTAGAAAGAATGTTTCATTCTCTTCTCCAACAAATATAGACAGATTTTAATAATGTTATATAAAGGGGAAAAAAATATCTCACAACTATTTGACGAGATATTACCTTTTTTTTATTCAATAAAAAAAATAAAAAAAAAGGAAAAAGGAAAAAAAAATAGTGGGGTCGTGGGACCCACTGCCGGGTCAAAGGGAAGGTTCCGTCGTGCCACGGCGGCGGGCCATGCACACAGTTATCCTGACATGACGTTATGCTATTCCAATTCCCAAACAGGAAACTTCTCCCATAAATAATAATAATAATAAAAAAATTGAGGCTTAAATTAGATTTATGTTCGGTGTTTGTAATTCTTTATTTCAACTCGAAAGTATTTTATAAAAAAAATATATATAAATTATAAAATATATATATATATATATTAGAGATTCAAAATTTTCCACCTATTTAAGTTTAAATATTATTTTATAGTTATATGTTTGACTTCAGCTCATTTTCAATTTTTATTTTTGGATTTTTTAATTTTAGTTTATTTTTATCTAAGTAGTTTCAAAATAATTATTAAATAAATTTTTTTAATCTAATATTCTAAATTTTTTAATTAAAGATAATATTGTAATTTTTAAAATAATGAGATTTTTTTTTAGAAAGAATTTAATTAATAATTTTATGGAACAACCACCTTATGAGATGTATTTATTGGTATCATAAATATATTTGGTGTAATAAAACCTAAAGTAGGGCCCACAAATCTGAATGTCCTTAAACATAGGGCACATCCCTTAGTTTCTTTACCCTCCTTTTTGTGGTTCTCTAGGCAATTTTTTTTTTAATAATTAAAAATAAATTTAATTTTATATTTGCAACTAGATAATTTTATATAAATTGTCCTTTCACAAAATTGTCTTATTTTATGGATTTTTTTTATTATTATTTATTTATAGATATTTTATGGATTGGAATTTGGAAGTATCCAAACAAGTTGCTTAATTTCTTGTATTTTATATATATATATATATAATAAAAAAAATGTAGCTTCACCTATGTTTTATTTTATTTTATTTTAAAATTATTATATTTCATTTATTTATAGTACCATGAGAAATGCTACAACCATAAAATAAATATTGGCTTGATGAATATGGTCCTATTCCTATTATTTATAAATGGGGGAATATTATTTATGCTAATTTTAGGGAGGACAATAATTTATATAATTGGGTTGGAAAATATTTGTTTTAAATAAAATTGAAAATTGGAAATAAGTTTTTTATCTCTTTGACTAAAAAAAATAGATATTCGAAGTTTTAACTAATTCATAGTTTAACTGAAAATTAAAACATCATAGGTTCCAATTTTTACCTGATCTATAGTTGAACCAAAGAAGATAGTAACAAAATAGTTGAGAAATATACTTCGATCAAAAGATCAGATACTTCCCAGTGGACTGAAAAAATTTATAGAGAAAACAATGACAAAAGATTTCTCTTACCTGATTCATAGTTTAACTAAAAACTAAAAGATTAAATGTTTGAATTTTTACCCGATCAGCAGTTGAATCGAAGAAGATAATAAAAAAAAAACAGTTGAAAAATATAATCAAATGCTAAAGAAAACAATGACAAAAAGAGATTTTTTACCTGATACATAATTGAACCGAAGAAGAGAGTAAGAAAGCAGTTGCGTTTGTTGAGGGTTGTTGGGAGATGATGATGATTTCACGTCAGCTAATTAAGAGGTTGATCTTAAGTTTATAAAGACTACATTCCTACTAATATGAGACATTTTAAAAAATCTAAAAAACAAAACTACAAGAATATAGACTCAAAGTAGATAATATCTTACCATTAGAGAGTATCGATTAAATGCGAAGAAAGCCAAGTTAGATCCCTAATTGCAGAGTAAAATAATGGCGGCCTGTTGGATTCCATTGACAGCCATGCCATGTCATGCCATGCCCTCTCCTTTTGGTCGCAGCCCCCAGCTTAGAAAAGAGTGAGGCTTTCCAACCCAACACCCATTCATTCTTGCCATACCCCATTTTCCATTGCTTTCAGGAGAGAGAGAGAGAGAGAGAGAGAGAGAGAGAGAGAGAGAGAGAGAGAGAAGGAAATCATGTGCTAAAACTAAACGCGTCCACTTCAGGTGGCCCACTTTCGCATCAGCCTTCACTGCTCTGTGAATTTCTTCCTCGAATGACAGTCCGGAGAAGAAAGCCAGTCCCAGTGTGTTCATACTCTCAGTCTCCGCTGGGTTTTGCTTCAATAATGACTCCATTTCATCGCCCTCTCTTCTATTTCTAACGTTTTTCTTGGTGGGTTTTGCAAACCCGTAGCCATTTTCAATCTCCTTTCATGATTGCTTGAAACCCTTCGCCATTTTGATGTTTCTGAAACAGAGGCTGCAAGAAGAACAAGAAGAAGAAGCAGGTCAGATCATATAGTTTGAAGAATCTTTGATGGGGAAGTATTGTTTGTTCTTACTTCTCAGCTTTGCTTGCACTTTCTTACGTGGTGGAGCTTACCAATTGCAAGCCTCGCAAGCCCAAGCGCTTCTCCAGCTGAGAAAGCACCTGGAGTACCCGAAGCAGCTGGATTCATGGACTGATCACAGAGTGGACTTTTGCACACTGTCCTTTCTTCCTCTTGTTAACGTTACATGCCAGGATAGTGTGGTTACTGAGCTTAGAATTGCAGGTGATACTCAAAGCAAAGTCGACGAGTTCATTGGCTTTGCAATACCAAATCAAACGCTATCAGAGAGTTTCTCTCTTGATTCATTCATCACTACTTTGACAAGACTAAATAGCTTGAGAGTTCTTAGCCTTGTGTCTTTGGGCATCTGGGGTCCACTTCCAGACAAAATCCATCGATTATCTTCACTTGAATATCTGGATTTGAGCTCAAATTATCTTTTTGGTTCGATCCCACCTAAGATTTCTACCATGGTGAAGCTTCAAACACTTAAACTGGATGACAACTTCTTCAATGATACTATGCCCGACTGGTTTGATTCATTGTCTAGTCTGACAGTGCTGAGCTTGAAAAACAACAAGATCAAGGATTCGTTTCCATCTTTGAGCATCAGTACCCTTACTGAGCTTGTCATGTCTGGCAATGACATATCTGGTGAATTACCAGATCTAAGTAAATTACATGGCTTAACTGTGCTGGACTTGAGCTGGAACAAAATAGATTCATCACTGCCTACATTACCGAAGGCATTGATTGTCGTTTTACTCGGAAAAAACTCGTTTTCGGGTGAGATTCCACAGCAATATGGTCAGCTTAGTCAGCTCCAACAGCTTGATATATCATTCAATGAATTGACTGGCACCCCTCCTGCTACAATCTTCTCCTTGCCCAACATCAGTCACTTGAATCTTTCTTCGAATAAGTTATCTGGGTCGCTACCGATCCATATGGAGTGTGGCAACATGCTTCAGTTTGTTGATATATCTAGCAATATGCTTACTGGAGGATTGCCTTCCTGCTTGGGCATTGAATCTGATAATCGAACTCTGAAGGCAGACGGGAATTGCTTATCTGTTCATGTAGGGAAACAGCATACAAAATCATATTGTGATACAGAGAATATGAACCATGATCAGCACCAGGAGCAGTATAGAGCTAAACATGCAGGAGTTGTAATGGGATTACTTCTTGGAATTTTGTTATCAGTGCTTCTACTTTCTATTGGGTTTGTTTTATGTAGAAGATGTTGGCCTAGAGGAATATCAGAACAACATTTATTGCAGAAATCAGTTCAGGATAGTTCAACAGCAGGGTTCTCATCTGAGCTTCTAACAAGTGCAAGTAAGTTCAGCTAAAGTTCCATTTGCAGTTATTCGTTTAGTCAAAATTAGTAGACTTCATGAGTAAAAGATGTTGAGCTTTACCATTTCCAAGCGTCCTGCTTGCAGGGTTTGTTTCTGAAGCTGCAAAGTTAGGAATTCAAGGTCTTCCATTGTGTCGAACTTTTTCCTTGGAGGAGATAAATGAAGCTACAAGAAATTTTCATGACTCAACTATCATTGGTGATGGTTCATACGGGAAGGTAACATTCTAATCATTAGATTCACTTCAATCAATATGGATCAAGTTCAGCTGTTTGTGAGTGGCTCATTTTCCAAATAAGCTGAGGAAGTGAAAGTGAGACAGTTCTTCATTTTTCTCCATGAAAGCTCGGTTTCTCCTAACAAAATGAAAATATATTTACAAGAAGAAACAAACATTTGGAGTTTGGACTAGCTGTTCATAAGAATTTATATAACAATATATGTAACGACTCAAGCCCACGCTAGCAGATATTATCTTCTTTGGTCTTTCCCTTTCGGGTTTTTTCTCAAGGTTTTTAAAACGCGTATGCTAGGGAGAGGTTTCCACACCCTTATAAAGAATACTTCGTTCTCCTCCGCAACCGAGGTGGGATCTCACATATCTGATTGACATATTCAAATAGAAAGTTTCTTCATCAAATGGGAAACGTACTTGATCAATGATGATTAAAAACCATAGTTATGTTACTTTAGAGTTCTAGGTGTACCTTTTCTATTACAATAGGTTTCCACCTGTTTTCCCATGCATGTGTCTTTCGTAATGCTGAATCATTTCCTAAATGATCTGCAAGAATTCATCCACTTGAAATGGCTCATGAACAGTTGAAGTATATATATACATCATGTCTTTTTTTATATGTTTTGCAGCTATATAGAGGGAGACTGGAGAATGGGACTCAAGTTGCCATAAGATCCTTGCTTATATCCAAGAAATTTTCAATAAGAAATCTTAAACTTAGGTTGGATATGCTTGGAAAGCTCAGGCACCCAAATTTGGTCTGCCTTTTGGGTCACTGCATTGATGGAGATGGACAAGACTTCAATGACATCAAGGTCTTCCTCGTATCCGAATATATTCCAAATGGGAGTTTTCGTACACATCTATCTGGTAATTTAGAAGCATTTTCGGACTGATTCTCTAAATGAATTCTGACTTCCACTACTTGAGAGAAACATTTCTCTTTTGACTAACAAATCGTTGAACTTGTAGAGAAGGTTTTGAACTGGTCTGAAAGATTAGCAATTCTAATCAGTGTTGCCAAGGCTGTACACTTCCTGCATACTGGAGTCATTCCTGGTTTCTTCGACAACCGACTAAAGATCAACAATATCTTGATTGCTGATTATAATGTGGCAAAGTTAAGTGATTATGGATTATCCATTATCTCAGAAGAACCAGCAAAATCTGTGGTAGGTAGAACTTGATTATGGCTGCTATTGGATCATTGATAAATGCTGATTACTTGGTTTTCTGTTTGTGTAGGCTAAAGGGGAAGGCCCACAAGCTTGGTAAGAAATTTTTGTGATAATTTGGGTCATTCTTTTCCAAGATGTTAACTGTTTTCTCACATGGATATCTATCCTCAGGCAAATGATGAGCTTGAAGGATGATGTTTATAGCTTTGGGTTTATACTACTAGAGGCACTTATAGCACCTTCTGTGTCTGCTAGAAAAGACCCTTCTGTACTAAAGGAAATGGTAGGCCATGAAGTTTCTGATTATTGCTTTATTAGCATTGTACCATTTGGTTGTCAAGGGGCATGAGAAAATCAAAATTAATCACTCATGGTGGTAATGCATAGGGCTTAAGCAACAGCAAGAACAAACAAAACACTTAATGATCTTCCATTCCTTTTAACTGTTCAGTTCAAGATTTACCTAAATGATTGTTGATTATACAGATGAGTTTAAACAGCCAGGACGGACGGAGGCGACTCATCGATCCAACCATTCTAGCTACCTGCACACAAGAGTCCCTATCAACCATTATTTCCCTAATGAACAGATGCATTTCCCCTGAAATGAGTCGACCGTCCATGGAGGATGTTCTTTGGAACCTGCAATATGCAAATCAAGTTCAAGATGTCAGGGATGTTGATCAAAGATATAGTTCTGCATCGCAACAATGATTCATTGTGCTTTCTGAGAAAACACATTTCTTAAGAACTGTGTCTAAATCCTCTCAGAAACTCAGTTTTTTTTTTAGAACTTCAATAAGCATGTATACAGATTGATAATTTGGACATGCTATCTCTTGACATTGATATGAAAGTGTAAGTCCGCTCAAGTATAAATAAAAGCCCCTTTTCAAGCAGAAAAACTCTAAGATGCTTCTTCGTGCGGGAACTTCCAATGAACACCGACTGCAGAACCGATCCTTCCGAGTCTTCCATATGAGCTATCGCGTTTCGATCAACGCGTAGCTCGCGGTCTGCTCTGTAGTCGTAGGAGTAGTATTCATAATCAAATTGCGGTTAAGCTCAGAGGCAGAGGTAGGAGTAGAGATGAACTGTCTCGGATGGTAACGACGGAGCAGAGTGCGGCGGCCTGTAGCGCCGGCGATAGTTCGTCAAACGGCTAAGTGCGAGCATTGGGCCGAGAAATGGACTGGAATTAGGACATGTTCTGGGAACACAAAGGACGGATCATGCAAATGAGAAGAGAAGATTGAAGCAGTTCCACGAGGATTCAACTTTATAGGAAGCTAAAAATATTGCATCCGAGGTGAAAGATATATATTTATAATTTGAGCCTACGTTGAGATTGGAGATGTGGACGGGCAGGGATGGAATCACGACTCTCTACAATGTTATGATATTGTCCCTTTAAGCATGATTTTGCTTTAGACCCAAAAAGACAATATCAATTGAGAAAGTATTTTTTGATTATAAATCCATGGTCTGCTTTAGACCACCTAAAAGACCATACAATGAAGACCCAAAAAGACAATATTGAGAGAGTATTATTTGATTATAAACCAATGGTCTGCTTTAGACCACCCAAAAGACCATACCAATGGTCTGCTTTAGACCACCCAAAAGACCATACCAATGGTCTGCTTTAGACCACCCAAAAGACCAAGAGAGTATTCTTTGATTATAAACCCAGTATTCAGTTTGCATTATAAACCTAATATTCTTTGATTATAAACCCTTTGAGAAAGTATTCCTTGACTATAAACTCATGATTCCTTTATTATAAATGACTTTCATTCAACACCAGCCACTTAAATTAGCCGAGACCCATGATTCCTTGATTATAAACCCAATTAGCCGGGATCCATGATTCCTTGATTATAAACTCATGATCATTATCTAAATTAATCGGGACTTTCATCCAACACCAACCACTTTTTGGTAATTTGCTGGATTGATTTACGGTCTATTATTCTTTAAAAATATATATATATTAGTTGTAAAGATTTCATTTTTCATTATATTTTTTTATTACCATTAAAAAAAATTATAACATATTTAGTTTAAATAAAGTAATTTATTTTTTTAATATAGACAAAAAGGTGTGTATATATATAAGAACTAAGCAGGGACAAGAAATGCAATCTCATCCTGAGACCCATTTATTTAGAAAAAAAATATTCCCTTTTTCCTCGATATTCACAAGACAAGACAGGAACGAGATTGAAGCAACGTTGGGCTGGAGAGGTGCTAGGGCTAGGGACAGAGAATGCCGTTCTTGTCCCGCTCCATTCTGGAGGGTACATAGAATCACAATCCATAGATTAAATGGATATCTTTACACTCATACTTCAATCATTCGTACATTATCTTCAAAATATTTTAAAAAATAAAATCTTTCATGTCAATGATAAACCAGAGTATGGTATAGGACTTGACTTATACGCACGATAAATTTAATTGATATCGAATTATTGCAATTTTGCATACAATTAATTAGGATCATTTTTAGTTAAATTATATTTTTCTTCTATTCCGTCCAAAAGAGGGATTGATTGGGATCTATTCAGTCACATTTTCATTCATTTAGGGTATTAACCTCATTCGAGGATGAAAGATAATATGGCTAAGGTAACTACTATTGCAACTTTCAATGAAGCCATTCAAGATGATCGTAGAAATAAAAAGTACTTAAAGCTAACCCATTTCTGTGAGTCTTAATGTAACGGGTTCACCTAGAAATATACTACTCATATTTTCGGGTTGTATTAATTTAGCTTGGAATAATATATTAGCAATCGTTCTTTCTAAAATATCTAATATACTAATGTTATAAAGTGCAAGAGAAATGGACAAATAGCCAAAATCCCAACAAAATTTGACCCCTTGTGAACCTAAATTAAATGTACCAAAATCAGCTTCAAGCTAATAGAAAAACACAAGACATGTATACACATTAAAACAGCCAATCAAACAAAACCAGACAGTTCGACGGATTAAAATTACCTTTTAGATTGTTGTGCAAAAGGGTATGTTGATCATGAGAGAGTGGGCGGCTCAGAGCTCCTTTTCCAGCATTGCCCGGACTCTGGTTGGAAGGCCATACAGGCGGATGAAACCAGCGGCATCAGCCTGATTGTAGATCTGCCCATTTTCAAAGGATGAGATATCTTCCCTGTAAAGACTGTAAATACTGCGCCTGCTGGCGACATGGACGGAGCCTTTGTAAAGCTTGAGAGTGACGGTGCCGGTGGTGTGTTCTGTGATCTTCTCCATGAAAGCATCCATGGATTCACGAAGAGGGTCGAACCATCTACCTGCGTAAACCAACTCTGCATATTTGAGGGCGAGGGAGTCTTTTACTTGAATGGTTTCTCGGTCGAGTGTTAGAGACTCGAGCTCACGGGTGGCTGCAAAAAGGATGGTTCCTCCTGGAGTTTCATAGACACCTCGACTCTTCATGCCAACGAGACGGTTTTCAACCATGTCAATTCTGCCAATTCCATGCTTTCCACCAATTTCGTTTAGTTTGGTGAGAAGAGATGCTGGTGAAAGATCCTCGCCGTTGACAGAAACAGGGAGACCTCCGACAATCCCTATTTCGACGTATCTGCAGAACGTGATGTCATGGTTGAGCATGTTGAACAGAAAATGGCGAATACCCACCAAAGGGCCTAAGGTATTACAACAAAGCAGAACAGTCTCTTTTTCATACTATTTCAACACTTAATTTTCCAGCTGGGTATAGTAGAACAAAAGATGAACTTGATTTTAAGACGGTTCATATTAGTCCCTTTTCACAGCCTTTGGTAATAAATTTTTAAATAGTTGTGGACAGATTCAAGAACAGAACAATTATTGCAAAGAATACACTTCTAGTTATTCAGATCAAATTAAAGTGTAGGCATTAGATAAGGAAGTTTACTCGGGTTCGTTAGGCGCGTATTCTGGATCTGTAGACATCATGTACATGTCCTTTTTAGGTTCGTTTGCTGGATCCTCCAAAATGTCCCCCTACAGTTATAATGCACAAAGGAACATCAGCAAAAGATAAAATTCATAAAGGAGGTCAGAATTCACCCAGTTTCTTTGAGCCATATCCTATAATACAATCATCACTTGGGTTGGTTAATAATGAGCGAACTTATGAACATCATTTCCATTCTTTCCCTATGCTTTCATTAAGAACTACAGACCAGGTCAACTTCATCAGCTGATATAGTTCATCAAATTTATAGTCCATCTCGAAAAGCGTGGAACAATGAAAAATTCATATAGGCGGAGTGAAAAGCACACCAAAAAGAAAAGAAAAGCTACCCTCACCTTAAAGAAACCCCCCCAAAGATTTGACATAAAACAATATCTCAGTTTACAATCATTTAATTTCAGCATCGTATATGTAGGATAGAGAAAAGATGATAGACGAATGATGAATCGATCAATAGTAATAAGCACTACCTCATGACTAAGATGCCACAAGTTCCGGTCTCGACTGTAAATAGATTTCTTTGTCACTGGAACAGGTATATTATGCTTCTTGGCATATTCAATAGCATCTTCTCTTCCAGTAATATCCCATTCCCTCCACGGTGCCACCACATTTAGATTGGGATTTAGAGCAAAAAAGGCCAACTCAAAGCGTACCTAATAGATATATCAGACCAATTGTATTCATCAGGGGAAAGAATATACTCAAATAGTCATATATCAAGATCATGTTGTGAGGGCATTACCTGATCATTTCCTTTCCCAGTGCATCCATGAGAAACAGCATCAGCTCCAACTTCTTTGGCAACGTCCACCATGGCCTATTTTTTTTTTCCAAATATTGAACGGATATGCAAAGCAATTAGCAAATACCAAACCAACAGGTAAAAACCATGAACATGATAATGTGATTAGAGCTTAGAGCCACTTAGAACCTTAAATTTACTTACTGTTGGGAAATCCATATCGCTAATTTAACTTAGAAATCAGGACTACCAGCGGCAAAACTACAAGTTAGAACCTACCTTTGCAATAACTGGACGGGCCATGGATGTCCCAAGCAGGTATTTTCTTTCATAAATTGCACCAGCACGCAAGCAAGGAAATATGAAGTCTCTTACAAATTCTTCCTTCAAGTCCTTCACCACCAATTGACAAGCCCCACTTGCTCTAGCCTTCTTTTCCAAACCTTCCAATTCCTTCATGCCCTGCAAGATGAGCCAACGAAAAGATGCAAAAAGATAAATTTCATAAGGTTTCCAATCAAGTGTTGGGTTATCCCATAAAAAAACACAAAACAAGTTTACTTTCGCAAATTACATACCTGACCAACATCGGCAGTAAAACATACAACTTCGCAACCATAATTCTCCCTGCAATACATACAATAGGTAATTTCCATAGAAGAGAATAATTAAGACTCGGTGAAAGGAGAATAAAAAGTGCTGCATAAATCCCAAAAGAGGAAGGCAGGACAATTGCAAGTGACATAGAAAGAACAACTGAGAGCTCAAAGCAAAAACCAAGCAGTACAGGAAAAAGGGAATGGTAACTCATAAAAGTCAGATGTACTGAAGAGCCAGTACCAGCTATCTCTCAGTTCTTCAATCATGCGACTACTGCCACTTACTGAATGAGTATTTGATAAGTTTAGAAGTCCATGGGTAGATCAATAAACAAGATTACTCTGGATCAGTGTAAGAAATGAAGACCTACCTCAGCCAGGGAACAATGACTGATGTGTCCAAGCCACCACTGTAAGCCAAAACAACCTTATTCAACTGCCCTCGCAGACCTTTAGTCCCTCTACCATTGGCAGTTTCGATCTCACTCTCACTCTGCAATATTGCCTGTATAACTGTATTCAACAGTGATTCAAAAAGAAAGATTAAAAGTTTATAAAACACGAT